AATCACCAATTAACCTCAGCATGTTTGTGGACTGTGGGAGGAAGCCGGAGAACCCGGAGAGAACCCACACTGCACGGGGAGAACATGAAGACTCCACGCAGAAAGATTCCAGTGCCCTCATGGGACATGAACTGGCGACCTTCTAGCTGCGAGGCAACGGTGCTAACCACCGAGTCACCTTGCAGCCCTAAGATGAGAAACACTCAGCCCAAAAAAACAGACTATTTTATTGAAGCAACCTGGACTTTGATTACACCCACAGGTTGATCACCTCCAGGACACGCTGCATTAATGCAGTAATTCACAGTAAAGGAGCCCGAAACCAAGTAGTGAGAGTATGGATGGGCCACTTTTCAGAAGTCAACATTTCTGTATTTTAAGTCTTTTTTTGATTGATCTGGAGGAAATGATCTTCTGTAGGAAATATTCTAATAATTTCAGAAACTGAGTCTCAGATTTTCATGAGCTCTAATCATTAAAATTAAAACATAAAAGGTTTCAAATATTTCATTTTATGTGTAAAGTTTACCTTTTTAAATTAAATTACAAAATTACAAAAGAAGAACATTTTCACAATGTTCTAATAGTTTGACATGCAGTAGTTTATGACTGGTGCTCTGACTCTTGGCTCTGAAGGATCACTCTGGACGAAGCACCTTCTGTACTCTCTTTCTAACTCCTTGTCCTCCACCTGATCCCCCAGATGGAGCCGACGCCCCACGCCATCGCTCACTGCGCTGGTCCCCAGAGATGCCCCACCAGGTGGAGATAAACTAACCTAACCGTCACAAAGCACCGGCTCACTAGAGCCATCACTTATTCTGTCTAGACCTGCTCCTGCACGCTAAGGGGGAAGAAACCAGGTGGGATTTAGGTGCCTCCTTCTTCAGTAGGAGGACAAAATGGTCCCACAGCAGGAACCAGTTTCTACCTTCACCGGTGAAATCTGCTGCCTCCATGTGCACGCCTCTCCCTTCCTCTGCCATGTCACCCCACTGTTTTAATCCCCGTGCCTCATGGCCCAGCCCTGACACGAGCTTGGAGATATTTATAGTGCTGGATGATTTAGTTTTTAAAATATGAACAGGTAGATGCCATGGCTGGAGTCTTTTAATACCACAGCAGCTCAGTGTGGCAGCCTTGGGATGTTCAGGCGTTCTCTCCGTGGGCGTCTGTCTGGATTAAACGCTGCAGCTCTGTCCTGAAGACTGACTGATGCCTCCCTGTGGGCTGCCGGGTTCCTGCAGCTTCTGCGCGAGGGATGGTCTGTCACTGTGTTGTTATGCACACATGAGTGGCACCGAATCTTACGTAAAGTGACAAATGGCGATCTGCAGGCCTGGGGATGGTTGATGATGCACGTGTTCCTGCAGGGATGCTGGAGCAGATTCAAGGTCAGCTGAGTCTGGGGATGAATGTTCTCTCCATGAGCGCCGGTCGTCTTAGGGATGGTAAATGCTTCACCACAAGGAAGCACGGGCCGCCATAAATCATTTTGGTGCAGGCACACGTGAGGCCAGCTACAGATTTGCAGCATGTTTACAGAACATGAAGACTCTGTAGAATCTGATGGACAGTTCGTAGCACCGCGGTGATTTTACACAGTTAAGACAAAATGGTGAAACTGAAATCAGCTCATTTTCATTTTCACACGCCCCTGATGTCTTTACATTGTGTGTGTATTCTCTGGCCTTTAAATACTAAATGCTCCTCAGGTTTTCAGATTGTCGCTTTGTTTTGGCAGTTCAAATGAACATAGATTTAATTTGCCACGTAAACTTTACGCACAGACATAGAAATGATAAAGTTAGTGTGTATTTAAGAGAACACCAAGTAGTGACAGTTTGTTACTGTTGGTAATCCAGCCTGACTCGTCGACTTTGCAAATTATCTACATTTTAGATGTGTGTTACGCTACCATCCATCATCTATACACTGCTTAGTCCTCACTAGGGTTGTGGGGGGCTGGAGTCTATCCCAGCTGACTCAGGTTCACCTGGACAGGTAACCAGTCTATCACAGGGCTACACTTAGAGACAGACAACCAAGCACACTCACATTCACACCTACGGACAATTTACAATCACCAATTAACCTCAGCATGTTTGTGGACTGTGGGAGGAAGCCGGAGAACCCGGAGAGAACCCACGCTGCACGGAGAGAACATGCAAGAAAGATCCCGGTGCCCCCACCGGGATCCGAACCGGTGGCCTTCTTGCTGCGACGCGACAGTGCCACCAACTGCACCATGTTGCAGCCCGTCACGCTACCAATATATGAATAAAATGCTAATATCATATAAGTTGACCAATCCGCTTTCACTTTATATGAAAACCAGAATCAGCTCAACTACTAAACTATTAAATGCACTTTCCATGAGCTGTAGTCACTAACGTGGTCTCTCATGTCTGTGTTCCAGGGCCTGGTGGTCACGTTTCAAAGTACAGCCTCAGCTGGTTAGCTGAGAACAGCTATGAAGTCAGTAAGCAGCGCACCGTACACCAACGCATCCTCTGGAACTCAGACATCTATGAATCCGCAAACGTACCGTCGGCCACGTACGACAAGTTCATGAGCTGCGATGACGAGATGAAGAAGTTTCTTCAGAACTACCTCCTGTATGGGATCGCTTTTGTAGACGAGGTTCCTGCTACAGTGGAGGCCACACAGGAGGTCACCCAGAGGGTCAGCCTGATCAGGTAGGAGGTGTTTCTTTTTGGCCCACAAACGACATTCTTATGGAAATATTGTACGTTAGTGATTTACACTCAGTTATAGTGTGGAGGATGTTCAGCTTTGTTCATTATTTATTCTGTTCTCTCACCAGAGAGACGACATATGGCGGAATGTGGTGCTTTACTTCAGATTTTTCCAGAGGAGACTCTGCGTACAGCCAGCTGGCCCTGGACCGTCACACTGACACCTCGTACTTTCAGGAACCGTGTGGGTAGGTGCTGCACAGACGGCCTCATATGGGATTTCAAAATAGCTCTCGTGAAGTTAAGTGAAGCAGTTTGTGTTCCTAGAAATAAAGTTGTAGTTGCACAAATAGCAGATTACGCTTTCCTAACTTGTGAACTGTTGTCGCAGAATCCAGGTTTTCCACTGTCTGAAGCACGAGGGAACCGGGGGAAGGACTCTGCTTGTGGACGGGTTCTACGCTGCTGAACAAGTGCGGCAGAAGTCGCCTGAGAACTTTGAGCTGCTTGCTACGGTGCCCATCAGGCACGACTACATCGAAAAATCCGAAAGCCACCAGAACCACATGACGGGCATCGGCCCTGTGCTCAGCGTCTACCCGTGGAACAATGAAGTTTACCTGATGAGGTAAGCTGCTGCTGCACGAATAAAACAAACCCAAACGAGATTTGTTTTTCTCTTAACACTGCAGGTTGACTTATTATTGACCAGGCTGATTATCAAATCTGATATTCAGCATTTTTATTATCATTAATATTGTTATTTTTCCTCCTCTACCTGTAGCCTTCATTCTGGTCCTGCACACAGAGAAACTCAATCGAGTTCTGTGTTGTTCCAAATTTTGACCTAAAAATTTCAATTTGAGCTGAAAATTTACGCCGGTTCCAAATATTCGTTATCAACAGCAAAGCACATCAATCAGCCTCCTGTTAAAGTGCTGTGAGAAAGTTCTGCAAAGTTCTAGTCATGTTGAAGTCTTTTTAGTTTCCAGAATGTTCCTCCTAAAGGTTGGACAACGTTTTCCAACAACATCTGAAACATGCTTCCTGAATGTTGACGTCTAACGTTGTGGGAATGTTTTATAGAAGAATGTTTGATCCGGTTTTTACCTCAACAAGCTCCTTAAAACATCCTCAGGATACTGAAGGCAAAGTCGTCTTTATAAAGCGTTCCTTTAAAGTGACGTATGAATGAATGTCAGTTAGAGAATGTTCTTACATAATCTGTGGCACTGACAATTTTCTCAAAACGTCCCCTGAATATGCAGGAAAACATTCTGTCTTAGTTCACTTTTAAACTGATAGCAGACACCAGCAACCAGCAAGGCAGAACATCGCCTTTGGAAAAGCCGGGGAGAAGCTGTACCAACCCGAGGGGCTGCTCGCAACAGCACGGGACTGGCAGATGAAGAAGGTCGACCTACAGAGACAGCTCAGATTCCCAGAAAACACTGCAGTGACCACACTCAGGCCAGACATCGTCCTGGTGTCTGAAACATCAAGGCAAGTGGTCCTGCTGGAATCGACCCAATGGAGGAGGCCTTCGAGAGGAGGAGGGCCAAGTGTGAGGAGCTGGCAGGCGAATGCCGAAGCAAGGGCTGGAGGACCCGGTGCAACCCCATCGAGGTGGGCTGCAGAGGATTCGTTGGCCAGTCCCTAATCAGGGCCCTCAAGATGCTCGGGGTAAAGGGACTGCACACCAGGAAGGCCATCAGGAACATCACAGAAATGGCGTCAAGATGGATCAAGCGGGGTGATCCGTGGACAACACAAGCTACTCAGACACAAGTCGGGGCCTGATCAACCCTGGCTGGGTCGCCTGGGAGAGGGTGTGTGATGTTACGAGACCCGAAACACCCAATGACCCCAGGATACATCACTGAAGATGTGTCTGAGAGCTGCGTCGTGCAGTCTAACATAATCTGTGGCAACTTTCTATAAACGTCCTCTGAATATGCAGGAAAAACATTGTCTTAGTTCACTTTTAAATTAATAGCAGCTTTATTTTAAAATGGTAAAAATTGCAAAACATTTTCTTTAAAACATCATTAGAATATTATCAGGCCACGTTAACTGCTGTGTGTTTCCTGCTGGCTGTGAAGGCCGACTTATCCTCTCTGTTATTGCGTTTTTTTAAATTTATTTTTTAAATAGTTTTTAAGGAGTGATGAAATGTTTCAAACTCACACATCAGGTTTGTTGTGTCTTCCTCCCACAGGTACAACAACTACGACCGAGGCGTGATCAACACCGTCCCCCATGATGCTGTGCGGCGCTGGTACGTGGCTCATCGAGAGCTGACGACGGAGCTGAGGCGTCCAGAGAATGAGCTGTGGGTCAAACTGACTCCAGGGAAAGTAAGACAGCTTCAGTGAACTGCTGCTAAATCATAGGACTCAGAAAATCAAAATATCAGCTCTGATCACACAATTCATTTACAGGTTTGTAACAGAAACGTGACAATTCAGTTCAATCTAAGGTTTTTTTTACCTTCTCTTCCTCAGGTGATTTTCATCGACAACTGGCGCGTCCTGCACGGGAGGGAGTCTTTCACCGGCTTGAGGCAGCTCTGTGGATGCTATCTGACCAGAGACGACATCATCAGCACCGCTCGCTGTCTGGGTCTGCCGGCTCTGTCCTGAACATGGAGGCCCCTCATGTGCCTTATCAGTCTGCCTGTAGGATTAATTACATTTGCACTAAGAGTCTTCTGACAGCTGGAGCATGCTGTCGTTTGCTCGTCTTTATTTTGTTGATTTTTTTCAAAAGCTTTAATTAGAATCAGAGACGTCTCCTGAATTATACTTGAATGCTGAAATCCTTAAAGGTCTTCCACTTCTTGAGCTGGTACAATCACATGGAACGATGTAGGAGAGAACAGGATTGCACAGAAAGCAGTAAAATTCAACTTCAGGCAGACGATGACCCGGTCAGTGTGAACAAACCGTCTGTGCAGGATGCCAGTGCTGTCTGCCACAGTGAAGAAGCTCTTTTTTAGCTGAGGTCTAATCATAGAATCACTGTTTGACTCCATAAAGATGTCCAGCAGCAGCTCTTTAATATCCCAGTTAAAGGAGGCATATTGGATGTGTCCGTGCTGCCGTCACACTTGCCAAAAAGTCCTAAATTTACGGTTAGTAGCTTTGACGCTGGCAGAGGGTAGCCAAGTTGTTCAGCTTTAAATTTACTGTGGGGTCAGAGACGGAGCTGTTTAATGTTTGCTTTTTCTAATGGGAAAATAAATAATGTTGGTGTGACGCTGTTGCATAAAATGCACGTAATTTATCTGCAGATGTGAACGGAGGCGCTGATCAAACCAACGGTGCCGTCACTTCTGGCTTTTTTTTTTCCTTTTTTTTTTAAACCTTCAAATACGATGGATGTATTTGTCACTGGTGCTTTTCTGATTATTTGGAATGAATAAAAAAATGATGCAGATGTAAACAAGTGTCTGTTCTTAATATTTAAAAGAAGAATTTGTACATCAAGTTGGAATATTCAAAGCTGAAGACAAGATGGCGGTGCTGGAGCTCTATAGGGCTGCTTCTGTTTATTCCTCCATCCATCCATCATCTCTACACCTTCATCCTCACCAGGGTGATGGGGGGCTGGAGTCTATCCCAGCTGACTCAGGGTGAAGGCAGGTTCACCTGGACAGGTAACCAGTCTATCACAGGGCTACACTTAGAGACAGACAACCAAGCACACTCACATTCACACCTATGGACAATTTACAATCAACCAATTAGCCTCAGCATGTTTTTGGGAAGAAGCCGGAGAACCCGGAGAGAACCCACGCTGCACTGGGAGAACATGGAGACTCCACGCAGAAAGATCCCGGGTGCCCCCACCGGGATGCAAACCAGCAACCTTCTAGCTGTGAGGCAACACCTTACAGCCCTCTGTTTGTTCGTCTCTTGAATTAACTACACGGCTTTGCCCTAAACACACCGATCAGCGTCAGCGTTACAACCTGATACTAATATTGTATAAAGCCAAAGCAGCTTTGACCCAGTGGGCCATGAACACAGGACCTCTGGGGGTGTCCTGTGGTGTCGGGCACTGGGAGGTGAGTAGATGCTTTAGGGCAGGGGTGTCCAATCCTGGTCTTTGAGGGCCACAGTCCTGCATGTTTTAGATGTTTCCCTCTTCCAACACACCTGATTCAAATGATCAGGATCGTTATCAGGCTTCTGCAGAGCTTGATGATGAGCTGATCATTTGAATCAGGTGTGTTGGAAGAGGGGAACGTCTAAAACATGCAGAATTGTGGCCCTCAAGGACCAGGATTGGTCACCCCTGCTTTAGAGTGTTGTGGGTTGCAGGGTGGAGTCTCTGTGGACCCGGGCTGATTCTGCTGCATCCTCCAGATGTTCCATCAGATTGGATCTTGCAAGTTTAGGGGTGGGCTGCAAGGTGGCACAGTTGGTAGCACTGTTGCCTCGCAGCAAGAAGGTTGAGGTTAATTGGTGATTCTAAATTGTCCGTAGGTGTGAATGTGAGTGTGCTTGGTTGTCTGTCTCTAAGTGTAGCCCTGTGATAGACTGGTTACCTGTCCAGGTGAACCTGCCTTCACCCTGAGTCAGCTGGGATAGACTCCAGCCCCCCATGACCCTAATGGATGGATGTTTAGGGGTCAACACTTTGGGCTCTTTGTCATGTTCATCGAGGTATTCCTGAGCAGTTTTTGCAGAGTGACAGGGTACATAGTCCTGCTGAAGGAGGTCGCTGCTGATGGAGGGGTGGGTTTGGTCTGTAGTGATGTTTATGTGGGCAGTCTGGGTCAAAGCAACATTTACTTGAATGTCAGGACCCGAGGTTTCCCAACAGGACACTGAACTGTAAGGACATGATCGATGTTATTCGCTCAGTAACTTCATCGATGAGGCTGATCGGTGTAAAACAGATCTGACAGACTATAATGAAGACTCAGAAAACTCAATATTTTATTGAACCATGATCTCTAAATTGCTTGTATGTTATAGAACAATAAAAAGTCCACAAGTTAAGGTCAAACACAACAACGTCTTTTAAAGTAACTGTAAAAAAACAACCCCTAAACCATGCATAGTGCTCACAGCCGTAGACATTAGCACCCTTATCACAATCAGCATCATTTACATACTTCTGATCACATGTTGAAGCTGTTTTCATGCAGCCTAGAGGTCCATACAGTACATTCAGGTATTGGATGAATGAATCGTCTGCCTGCTGTGTGAGTGGTTTGGTTTGATTATCTCACTACTCCTAAAAATCGTAACACAAACAAACAAAAAGTACTAGAAACACACTTTTAAAAAAATGCTTTTATCGTTTAATTTTCACACCATGTTAGAGGAAGATCTGCATCTGCACTCTGGTGAGGGTTTAAAGGAAAAAACTAAGGATCAATTTGGCAAATGAAAAAAATGATTGAATTATAGTGAACATAAAAAAATGCATTTTATCTCTATATCAGAGCCTGAACGTCCTGTTGTTCAGATCAGTGACGTCGTCCCGTTTGTTTTCATCGGGACTTTTTTTTTTTTTTTTAAGCATGCGCCTCGTTCGCCTCAGCGTGGTGGCTGCTGGCTGTGGTTGCCATGGGAACGCTGTCCGCCGCCTCCTGGGCCTGGGGACGGCTCCTTCTAGTGGACAAACAGAGAGTCGACGTCGCACCCATGAATGACAAATTGCCACTATATATATGATAATAGGATTAAGAGCGTCCTCACTTCATCTCGTTGGCCTCTGCTGCTTTCACGGCTCTGTATTTGTGCTTCTTCACCGAGTGAGCGATGAACCACACGACCAGGACGATGAGCACGCAGCCCAGCAGCGCCCCGATCACTGCGCCCGCAATCACGCCGTCTCCCACTTCTGCACAAACACGTGTTTTCATGTCCGTGATTAGAGCTTTTGCTTAAACACTTCACTCACCTCTGCACTCCAGCACGTGAACCTACCAGGACTCAGCTCGATGGTGCAGGTGGAGAAGCCCACCGTGTTGGTGGCGTTGCACTGGTACTCCCCAAACTCAAACTGGGACATGTTTTTGATTTCCAGTATTCCAGTCGTGGTCACTGTGGGGAAGCAAAGTGCACGCTCATAAAGAGGTTGTTCACATGTACACATTCGCACACAGGCAGGACTCACTTCTTCCCAGGACCGGCCTCCTTGTCTTGGTCTGATCCAGCCTGGTCCAGGTGTAGGTCGGGTTGGGGCTCCCACTCTCGCTGTGGCAGGTCAGAGTGACCAGGTGGCCTGTTTCCACGTCACCGTGGACGGAGCAGTACGGAGTGGAGGGCTTCTCTGAAGGAGGATGAAAGGTGACTTTACGTTCTGTCCGTTAAATCTACTTGACATCATTATGAAGCACAGCGGAGATAATTAGCATTTTTAAAACTGAATAGATGAGTTTCTCTGAGAGGTTTTGTTACAGAAACTCAAACTCTAGATTGCACATAAATCAAATTCACTTTATCTTGATGCATATTCTGATTTTGACACAGCCTGACCCATAAACAAGTGTTACGTCTCTAATTTATTTTTTTTAATGCTCTAATTTAAATTATTTTCAATGAGGTTAAAGGGGGAATCTCTTACTCACAATAATTAGGAACCCCTGCTTTAATCTGTACCAATGAATTGTTTTATGAGCCTAAAGCTTTAACATAACTCGTGAGGTAAAAAGTACATTTCCTTCTGACATTTCTAAACAGCTAAGTCATGATCCCTCCCTGTGGTCTTTCTGCTCATACGCTGTACACTTTATTAAGTTACAGTCCAGTCTGAGGCGCTGTGTGAATATTTTCTTTCCCGTTTCTGTCTCCTTCTCTCTCCAGGGGCCATCAATAATCAGCTTCCACCACCGCCGGCGTCCGTCCGACGCCTCATTGGTGGATTCTAATCTGAGCGAACAAATCACCAGCCAGAGACGTCAACAAAAGTGCAGATCTCCAGCAGAAGAGTCCTGCTTCCTCTGAGCTGCTGTCGTCGTGCCGATACACTTTGGACGCGCTCGTTATTGAACATCGGAAGCAATTATTGGGAGGTTAAAGACTTCAGTCAAGTCGAGGCGTCCTGTCACCCGTGTGGGCGACTTTTTGTTTCAGATTTATTCATTCCCCCTGTAGAGTCTGTGTGAAACCCTGATGAGAGAGTTTCTGATAGGGATCAACGCCGAGTCATATCAAAGTAGAGGTATAATAAAACACTGATAAATCTGTGCCGACCAAATCCAGATTTCAGTTTGTTCAAATAGCAAATCTCAACATTAATCAAACATCACGTGTGCGTCCGTTAGTCATCGTGAGGAGATGCCGGGCGTGGCCTCACAGCTCTGAGCTCAATCTTTACTGTATGTTTCTACTCTCAACTTTATATTTGATAGCAGCCGTGTTTCCAGGATATCGATCACACTGCAGGGAGTGGAGTTTATACACACACATTCTGCTCAAGTCTCTTCTACACATTATCATAATCACATGCAACAGTAAGTGATGATTAAAATCATCCCGGTTTAATCAGCGGGAGAGCAGCCATACATATTCATGGCCGGCGTCACGTTCGAGCATGTAGAAGCAGCACATGTGGTTAGCATGCAGCAGCTGCTCACGTACGCTCTGTATGCAGCACAAGGATGCAGTCACAGTCCTCCTCTAATTTCCAACACTGACAATGAGGAGACTGCTGCGGTAACCATGGAAACTACCGAGGATACTGAGGCCTGCGAGGTTGTCCTGGTAACTCGGTGAATGAGAGGATTCGAACTGAATGTAATTCCCTATTCACGCCATTCAGGGCCACTACTTTAATGGGTTTGTTAATGTCGAGACACGGAGGCAGAAATCTCGGAAATCGTGACCGCCGCCGAAACGTTTCGCCGAAACCGCAGCTCAGAACCAAGAGGGCGGCGGTTGATTCTGGAACTTCAAAGAGCTTCGGCGCTCTTTGTTCGGGAAGCGACGCCTTCTTTCTGAGCAGGAGCAGCACCAACATGAGGTTCAAATTTTTTTTTTTTTTTTTTTTAATGCTTCATAAACTATGGAAACAGAACCAGCAGCTCCAGACTACACCCAGACCCACATCAGTACCGGCGATCAGCTACTTCTGCTTTTTTTTCCCACAGTGCAAACATTCAGACCAACCTGCTAACGGGTGCGGTCAGATAGCGTGAACTCTACACGCCATTGTTCCCAGCCGCATTGTTGTTGAGTTCTCGTATCGGGTCTGTGTGAAAGTGCACACATCCTGATTCACTGGGTCAAAGTCATAATAGCAGCAGTTCCTTTCTCTGACGTGTACGTCGACAGCGCTTGAAGTTTCGTACCACTGATTTTTTTCAGGCTGAAATAGGGCCCAAATGTAACATATACAGTCATTCTCAGATTTATTCATCCCCTTCCATTAAAGAAAAGGTAAAAGTCACAAAAGTCACTCAAATAACTAGAAACTAAAAAAAGTAATAATAAATAAAAATTTGCTAAATTATAATTAAGTGAAATAAGACTCTGGTTTTGAATTGTGGTTGAAAAAAATAATTTAAAAAAACAAAAAAACTGATGAGCAGTGGTCCAGAATACCTGTCAACAGGTGGAGAAGTCTGACTGAGAGTTACAGAAAACACCTGATTGGCTCAAAGGCCGGTTCAATAAAATATTAGTTTATGGGTCCCATCATGCTTGCTTTTTTTTTTTTTTTTGGTAATATTTCTGTTGAACCACAATTCAAAAGCACTGTCATGATTTCCATTAAATTTTTATTCATTATTTTGTCAGTTTCTACTTATTTCAGTGTTTTTTTTCCTTCTTTAATGTGAGGCTATGAATATATTAGAAACACACATAATCCAAACACACTATCGACAAAGCATCCGTCTCCCAGGCTAACAAAACTCACCGAGCACATTCACGATGATGTTGGCCTGAGACTGTCCTTCCACGTCGGGGAAGTTGTGAACCTCACAGGTGTAGACGCCGGCGTCGGACGGCTGCATGTTGTTTATTACTATCGAGGCGTTTTTGGTGGTCGCGGGGGCAGAGGGAGCTGTGACTCTGCCCTCGTAAGCGTTCGTGATGACAATCTTTCCCGACTGATAGAAACAGACCTGAAAGAAAAATGGCGACAGATCACACAATCGAAGAAGAGCTGATTTGTGTTTTAAGTCCAGACATCTGGAGGAATGAAACCTGTAGCACTGACATGGATGGTGTTTTTTATTTAGTGAATTAAACACAGATTCATGTCAGTAGGTTAAATCGGCTTTGCCAGAATGGAGATTTGTCACTTCTCGATCTCAGTCACAGGCTTTGTTTTGTCAATGAGGTGTGTCTCTGTTGAGAAAACGCTTCATACTAAAGAGAGGAAGCTAATTCGTGTGTGTAGACCTGCACAAACATGTGTTCTGTGTGATGGAGTTGACTATTCTATGACTATTTTATAAAACAGTTCAATGTCCAACTTGGATTTCCAACCAGCTAACCCTAAACCTTTTCTTTTTTTTTAACCATCATCTATCATCCCATCATAGCAGAGTTTCGACCCATTTCTACCTGCTGTGGAGTCATAGAGGACGAGGTAACGACATCCCACTGGATGGTGAGGCTGGTCGTCGCCGCCTCGGTGGAAACGAACGAACACTGCAGCATGGCGCTTTGACCTTTCAGAACATTGACGTACTTCTGCGAAGTCGTGACTGTGATCAGTTCCACGCATCCTACAAAAGAACAAGTTCATCAGTTAATTTACAACTAATTAGAAAACAAGAGGAAGAAGTAGAGATGTAGTCACCTATGAGGCTCACAAGCACCAACAAACGCTGCACGTAACACATCTTCTCAAACCGCCGAGTTGCTGCAGAGCTGAACTTTCCAACGCCGCCTCTCACAAGCTGCACAGTGGGAGAAATAAACGCGGTACAGTATCACAGGCAAGGTTACTGTATTCCTGGTAGCAGACTGGCTGATACTGACCATGTTTGCATATCAATGTTTGCCAGACTGGGTGTGAGGAGTGGGTGTGTGTTGGACTGTTGTTTTTCAAAAACTGTTGCTTTGGCTGTCGGTAGTTTCGGATGAAAATAAGAAACGATGGAAACAACACCTTCATCTGTTTATGCTTCTGTGAAAAACTCTGAGTAAACAGTTTGCATTTTAAATTAGCCGCTGCAGTCTATTGTGTGTGTGTGTGTCAGATTGTTGACAATACACAACAGGCTGGGACCACACTGTGCTGTGACACTGATGGTTAATTCATTTTTCAGTACTTTGGCAGTAGCTTCACTACAGCTCATCCTCCTTGTCTTGTAAGTCATTCCGGGTCGGGGCTCCTGGCGAAGGAATTAATGTAATTTAATCTCCACCTGGCCTTTATCGCTCGCCTCAAGCAAGTGTTAGCCAAAGCACTGCAACACGCTGCTTATCGTCGGGGAGTTCACTCCCTGGCGCTGCTGCGTACTTAATAAAGGCTGTTTCACCTTTTGTCGTTTTCGCTCACACAGCGTCGAGCTGACAGAGAGAGAGAGAGACGGTGAATCACACATGATTAATTGTCTATAATTACCAGAAGCTGACATAAGTGATTAACAATGTGAAAAGCGTTGATCAGGGGTGACTGCGGGGGTGAGGGAGGGAGGCGCTGGGATGGTGTGGGAGGCGGAGGGAGGCGTGCGGAGCTCATTATCAGGAAGCGTGATGATGGGTCGGGATGTGCGACGATCTCCGTGTATCAGGACTTCGGTCTGAACAAAACAACATGTGTCGGCAGCTGTGCGTTGGTCAGAAGTGGAACAACAAGAGGCCCGGCTTTAAATAAACACATGACTCATGACCAGTGTCCGAGAGCAGCTCTGAGTCCGAGAAGTCACGTGGAGAGACCGCGAGAGAGCGAACAGAGGCGCCGATAACGGGCTCATTTACTTACGTTACGCTTATCTTTCCAGAGAAATGATTTTAAAAATTTGAAGGCATCGTATTTGTCACGAGGTGCCGTGAGGATGCAGTTTAACAGTCGTCCTCTGTATTTTTGCCAGTACGTGCACACTGTAGGCTGCCTTTGTGTTGTATAGTTCACATCAAATTGCACTATTACACCAAAATAGCAAATTGTCAGCTCAAAATAAAAGCACACGAGGACAGCAGAGGACACGCGTGGTCACAACAGTGAGAGTAAAACCTGCAGGAGTCAGCAGTTAGATCTGGCTGAAGGCTTTTCAGTAAGAACCAATATATACACACACACACATACATATATATTATTTTATTTTAAGGACATTTTTAGAAAACTTATCATCACGAGTAACAGAAACCCATAAAACAGAAGCTGACTCATGCACTCTGATTTATGTTTACGTCGCCCTTTGAGACTTAAAATTCAGTCGATGGACTCAATGAACACTGACCTGCTTAATTTATGGCGCAATAAAAATGATGTGTGTAGAAAAATGCATTGTTAGCATGCCAAAGGAGACTGCGAGCTATTTATGTTTGCGCCACGAGCCGTTCGTCATATGCATTTGTGCAAGGTCACGTTTATGAGGGCCTGCCTGGGATCTACGCCGCCGCAAACCCAAAGTTTCATCAGGATATTTTTTTGGATTAATGCGAGGTTAGATGGGCTCTGCGATCGGACTCAACCTACGCTAACCCCAACCAGAAATCACAGCAGTTGGAGGCCCTTGACGGTTATTTATTTACTGTATATAAAAGGGGAACAAATGTGAAATGCTGTACGGGGCTTTGCTTACGTTAACACTAAGTTTACATCTGTGTGAGGCTGGACTTCAACGCAGAGCTGCTTTGAGATACATGTGTGGATGCTTGTTCAGTGATGTTCCTTCTGTTAGTTGTTGAAACACTTCCCTAAAAATCAAGTATGATGTTTGAGGAAAGAAGATCTATTTAGCAGTCATTTGCTTGATTCTACAAATAGTACCGTAGATTGTTGCCTCCATTATCTATATTCTGCTCAATCAGTCTATCACAGGGCTACACTTAGAGACAGACAACCAATTCACACCTACGGACAATTTAGAATCACCAATTAACCTCAACATGTTTCTGGACTGTGTGGGAGGAAGAACCCGGACAGAACCCACGCTGCACACTCACTCCGAGAATTAATTAGTTTTTCATTCACATTAACGACTTTTCAGTTCACTTCTGAATCTGAGTGAAGGGGGCCGATGACGAATCCGCCTCCCACTCCCAGCATGCACCAGACTGGAGAGCCGTCTCTCGCAGCGACGCGAAGGTTGCAGAGGCCTGGAAGTGCGTCCCACTCAAACCTCCAACAGGTTTCAGTGCAATACCTCTACACAGACTTATTCATCCGCCCACCAGCACGAGTGTTTCCCTGCCGGCAGACTGCGAGGGGGCGTGAATCAGAGGCCAGACAGAGCGAGTACACATCTGAGGTGTGGTGTTGACAGACCCGTCTGACTTTGCTTTTACATTACACATGTTCTACATAGTACATTACTGCCAGCGCTGCTGTAATGTGTTTGTTTGGTTTATTTGGTGGCACTTTGGATGAGATACTGCTGCTGCTGCTGCTTTTAATAAAGGCAGGGCTGCAGTTCAGGTGTCGGCCAGCAGATGGCAGGCCAGTCTGTTAGATGCTGACTCTTTGTGTGTGTGTGTGATTGTGTGTGTGATTGTGTGTGTGTGTGTTGAGGCGTGCAGGAAGCTTCATGCAGCTGATGGCAACAGAGCTGAGAGCGCCACACTCCGGCCTCAGCAGGCCTCGCTCCTCCTCACCCTCCTCACCCACAAATATATAGGCCAGGCATTTAGGATGACTTCACTCCACGTCCCTGCAGCTACCAAGCAACCGTACCGACGAGGCTACAACAAAAAAACAACAAATCATATGCGAGAACGAGAACACACCACCACACAAAAACAGTGTAGTGTGAAACATCATCTGACTGGTACAGAAGAGAAGCTCTCCTTTGCATTGCGTTGTCTCTTTTTTCTTTTCTCCTCCTCGCCACTAAAAGCCAGTGACACCGAACCATCATCTCACATTGGCATCAAACACAAGCATGAGACACCGCTTCCGCAAAGATTGACACAATTGTGCAAATAAAGCTAAAAGAAGCGGGACGCAGGCGGCATCTCCTCGTCCTTCTGTCGTCTCCCCGATTCAGTCTGTCACCGGAGAAGGTGACCTATCACGAAGAGGGACAAGGGGCAGAGGACGGGAGTGCGTTCACATCAGCTAATCGACGGCCTGTCACCGTCGCATTTAGGCTATAACTTTCATAAAGTGCCGGCAGTAAAAAAAAAAAACAGGAGCAGTCGCACGGCTGACCCTTACTGGCATGGAGAAACATTAGACGCATTATGTCCCCATATCCATTTTGTCTAATGGCATTTTTGATCATCTAAAAACCTGTCCTTCAGCAACAAGGGAAATGCCAAAATAAATTGAGCAGCGGTTCTGTTGGGATTTGCCAGAAAAATTTTATGTGTTTGACTTCACGATGTTTAACCGAAAGATGTCAGTTGGCAGGAGGAGGTTTGTGTTGCTGCTATAGAAATACACGGAGGGAGATCTACGCGTCTTAAAATGAGATCCGGAGCTGATTGTTATTCATGGGATAATGCAAATGTTGGAGGGCAATGACAAGCTCAAACAGAGCTGATATTAGCCACACAGTATCAATTAATTGTGAAAATTGACTTTGACACTGATGGCATGTGTGCACACCTTCTTATCCACCGCGCAATATGCACTGTTTGCATTTTCTCCACCACATATGTAACTATAATCTCAGCTTCAACAGCCTCCACCCTCTGTGCTGCTTTTTTCTTTCTTTCTTTTCCTTTTTGCTATATGCTAGGATTTTCTAAACGATGCCCCCGGGGGGTTGGGTTTAGTGGTTCAGCCGTGGTCACACTGCATAAAAGAGATGGGTCTTAATATTTTATTAGACACATTATGTTTCCACTCTTCTTCGTCTCTTCACTTTCTTTTCAAGCCCCAAACAAGAACTCCATGGCAACACTGATGAACATCCTGCAAAAGGAAAACAGGCGCGCTGCAGGAGAAGCGTGGCCCGACATTTCATCATGTCAGAGCTGATGTTTAAGGAATTTCCAACAGATGTAACTGTTGATGTAACCAAAGTCAGCGGCAGTGAATCCTTTATCTCTCCTCTGCATCATCATCATCATCAGCATCAGCAGCAGCAGCACGGTGTTGCCAAGTCTGCAGCGACGCATGTTTGTTAACACGAGCTTTCCTCAAATAAAGGATTGATTTGAATGGAATGTAACACCAGAAGCTCCACTTTACTGACAGTGTTTTTCGAATTTCTTTGCATTAAAATAAAAAAAATTGGAATCATGTCCTCAAAAGTCTCAGCGGACTGATTGGAATCAATTTATTAAAAACATGTTTTTTTTGCAGAAAGCGGGAGCTAACGCTCGACGCCGCAGCATCCACTGCTTTTTGACCACTTTTCTTTCCCCCGCAGAGGAACAGCCATCAATTCCTGACCCATGTTAATGCACCCTTTCAATATTTGATGTTTTTATATGGAGTGCTGACAATAGAACACGGAAATGGAAGGCACATTCTGCTGAGCTGCTCCACCGGCTCCGTATCCATCTTCTCCGACGCAGAAGGAGGCCGAAGCATTAAAAAAACACAGGCAGGATCGGATACAGTCTCTACAGTTATGTTGCTTCCCCAAAGGTTACCCTCAGCACTTTCTAATGAGCTGTAACGGGTTCTAAGCTGATCTGGATTTAATAAAGGTGATCTCTCTTCATCACGGCATGTTGGACATGTTATTTATATACTTTAGCGCCGCTCAAGGTGAACTCA